TATGATTTTTTGTTTTCACTTTGTCATACAAAAAATTATAATAAAAATATTAAAAATACAAGTGTTATTTTGATTGGGAATTAAGTAAAAAAAAATATTTTTGATAAAATAATCTCTCTGTATACTATAATATACTAATATCATACAAATATGTTAAGTATATTTCTCAATAAAACATACCTGCAGTTTATATTCCTACATTTAAACATATACATATGTTCACGATCACGTGTATGACAAACACTTTGACAATAATGATTGCATTTTAATTGCTGCAAACAAGGACGTGGACATTTTCGATTCACAAAATCTTCAGATTTGGAAACTTTTGATAATGTTCCTTTGTGAATAGAACACTCTAAAGTTAATTCACTTCCTAAAAAGATATAATTTTATACAAATAAATAAAAAAATAAAAAAATAATTATAAGTTTACCAAGAGATCTCAGACTTTGAAGAGAACACTTGACACTATTCCATAATTCACATTGGCTTATAAGATTGTTTATGTTTCCAATAATATACAATCCAAATTTTGCTCTTGTTAAAGCCACACATATCCGATTTTCATGTTTCCAAAATCCTACATCTCCTTTATTACTATGTATAGTGGATAGTATTACAATTTCACATTCAGTTAATGAGCAATTATCCACAGATGATATATTTATGTTTTTAATAAGTGAAGATTCATCTTTAAGCTAATAATTATAATTCAAATACATATTAAAAAATAGTTAAAACAATGGAATTTTCAAATTTACCTTTACAAGTTCATACATTTGATCTTTATGTGATGTCAAAATCATTATATCTTCTGGTTTATAATTTTGTAAGCAAAGATAACGAGCAAGTCCAATTGCAAATTTAACTTCATGTAAATTTATGTGACTTTTATCCTAATTAATTAAATTTGTTTAGTTAAATATTTTAATAATACCAATTAAAAATTAAAAAGTAATACCTCTGTAATATTATGATCAATGAAGTACACATTTTGTGTTATTCCAATAACATTTGGAAAATTATTTGTTTGTTCACTACTTTCTAATTGATCAGTAATGGACGGTAGGACTAATGACATTATTTCTGGCCGCATTCTGAATTGTTTAATAAGTCGATTTAAAGGCAAACCATTATTTATTGCTCGTTCCATAAGTGTTTGATTGAAGTTATAAGTTTTTGCCAAAGTGTATGATGATGTCTTTGGACGTTCTATTTTATGGTCTCCTAAATAATTAAAATAAAAGTTATTTAATGTAATAAATTAATATTATCTATTTATTTAGTTGAATAAATTTTCAATTAAAATGAAGTTAAATTATAAAAGAAATGTATTTAAAACAACTAAATAAATCAGTAGTTTAAGTACATTATATAATGCTATATGCTAACAGATAATTAATCATGTTTAGCTTGTGGACTTTAATTATTAGATAATGTATACAAATTCTTTGTATTAAAATTATTCCATTTTGTATTTAATGATATATTACTAATAGCTTCTAATAATTATAATAGAGTCTAACTATACTCTATGTAAAATATATTGCTTTACTAATAAAGTAAATATTTATTTCTCTACTTTCAGTCAGAGCCAAAAAATTAGTATATTGCTGAATCCGTTATATAGCGAACATCCAGTTAACAGCTGAAAGTCAAGAACAAATACATATACTTTTGAACATAAAAAGAATGTCTTCACAATGTAGTGTTACACACACGCTGAACCTTTGGTTTGGTTGTTGGCTAGGTGTGGGATTATGAAACACAATATAATGATGGAAATAAGTCACTTGTTCATTTGTTATGGCTCAAACTATTGTTATTTTTTTTCCGCTAATTTATTAGAAAAATCTAAGTTAAATTTAACTGTATTTATATTTCTACATTAACTATCTTAAAGTTTCTTAAAGTTGTTAAACTAAATAAATAAGTATATTCCTAAATTTAATATTAAATGTATAAAAAAAATATTTATTTTTTTATAGGACTCATTATTACTACTTACTATATATACAAGTAAATACTAAAACTTATATTGAATGATGGTAACTACTCACTAGTATAAATTAATTATTTATCAATAAATAAAATTGAAAATTTTACCAATCAGAATTAAATGTTGACAATGTTCAGTCAATGATGCAACTATGAATGGTTCTAATGTTTCTGTTCCTTCTTCCACAATAACTAAACAAAATAATAATAAAACATTAATTTATTAATCTAATTAAATTTTAAGCTATGAATAAAATGAAGAAACTACCTACTGCATTTAAACTGATATATCTATTTCAATATATGAACACACTTTATTCAGTAAAATAAATTTTAAAACAACTTATCATATTTTTATTTTAAATCAGTAGTAAATAACAAAATTGCAGGTGTAATACATAGTATAAATAAAAATATCATAAATTTAATTTAAATTATTAATATTACGACTATGTTACATACCATAATAATATAATTATTTTGTTTCAATTAAAATAAAATTATGGTTAAGATTATTTTTAAATTTTAATTAATTTAGAATTCTTACAGAAATACTTACCAATTGGAGGTTTTAAACGTTCTAACAAATCTTTATTTTTTACTGCTCCAGTAGTGGTAAGTCCAATTACATAAATATCATTTAATAAATCTATAGTTTGTGTCAATCTGTCTTCATCAAGTTTTTTACACAAGTCATTATACTCATGCCATATTGGAATTAAAATATTCTTATAATCATTAACAATTTGATGTACCCAATTATAGTATAATACCCATCTCTGATCAGCTGGAATTAAATGGATATCATCAATAACAATTGGACATACTTTTGTATTATTAAAAGATAACATGTACTCAAAGTATTCATAAAATTTTTTCAGCATAGTAATTTGTTGTTTGATTTTTAATGAATGATATTCACTGCCCTCAGCAATTTGTTCTGTTAGTTCTAACAAACGCTGTTTTACATCATCTAAAATAAGACAATGTTGAGGGCAATCTACGTGATCTACTTTATATTTTTTAAACATTTTGTCCACAGGATATGGATGAAATAACCAGTTAAGAAAATCCCAAGAATCTATAAAAGTGTTGAATGCCACTTTTGGTACCACAGTTTTCAAAATATTCCAATCAAGAATACCCAAATACAATTTATCACACTTCTCATAACAATCTAAAATGGCTTGCTCTTTAACTTTCAAATTCTTTTCTAAAGCATTATTTATTTTTAATTTGTTTAATTTTACTATTTCTTTTAAGCTATACTTCTTTAAAGCTTCACATTTTGATTGACTACCAATTCTGATAAGTTTGTCAGTTATTTTTAAGATACTTTCTAAAAAATGATCTAATGTATGATTATTATTACAAATAACAGCAATTGGATTTTTTAATCGTCCTGTTGTATACAAATTTTCAATCATAGCTTTAACAACTCGCTGGCCAATAAATGTTTTGCCCGAGCCTGGAACACCTTGAATTAATGCATATTTATGAGTCAATGCTGCTTTAAATGCTTCATACTGACTGCTCTCTTGTTGTAGATAAATTTCTGTAGGCCATTCTTCATAATTCAAAATATTAAATTTAAAATCATCAATATCATATTTTTGATAATTAATATCATTTAAGTATTCAGGTGCATAATGTTTGTTTGAGGCAAAAACTATGTACTCTTTCAACGGAAATGTATGTGAGTTCATCTGTTGAAGAGCTTTGAGTGTCCAATTGTAAGGTACATAAAATTGTTCACACTGTGCCATAGATAAAATTGTGTTTGGTCTTATGTCAATGTTATCAAGCATTTCTATTAATAATATGCCTTGTTTTAAGTATTCAATGTTATCTTTCAGTACAAGTCCAGCAAAAAAGGTGTTGAAATCATCTTTAGAAAAAAGTAGTAAGAATCCATTTATAAACAAATTAATGTTATATGTATTGGGATCAAATTTAAATATAAAGCCCAATTTGTTTCCAAAAAACTCTCTAGAACCATCAAACAATACATTATTGCATACCAGGTTAATGCCGACTGTAGTTTTATTTTTACGATAATATTGTATAGCTTTTCTTAATGGATGAATAAAATCTTCACGTAAGAGATGAAATTGTGTGTCTAAATAGTGATCTACAGATTTGTATGGACCTTTATCAAGGTTGAACGGTAAATGTTTTATATAGTCAATATCATTAATAGTTGGATGGATGTATTGTGTTCTGAATGTCTTAGAGAATTCTCCAGGAAGCTCTCCCATTTTTTTTCTAAAATAATATTAAAAATTAATGCTCTAAATATGGAGATAATGTAATAGGCATTAGATTGTATAAGTTAATAATAATTATGTAGGTACTCACCAAGAGTTGTGATTTATGATTTTGATTTTTTGAAAACTAAAAAATTAAAAAATTAACCATGTAATAGGAATTAATGAAATTGGCTTAATTCATATTGATTTGAAATAAAAATTACTATCAAGACTATTAATATTAATTGTATGTTATTGCTTAATACTTAATACCTGAATAATATTATTAATTAAAATCCACAATGGGCACAATGCATGGCGTCATTGAATTAAAAATGATGATGGCATTGATAACTGATAGGTAGTTCATTCATAATTTCATAACGTACCTATTGGCTACTATTACGTTTTACGACTCTCGTATCACGAATTAGAAGGTTGTTATCACAAACTTAGATATCTTATGAAATTATCTTGAATTGTGATTTTTAGATTACATATGATTCATAATTTGTAAAAAAACAATGAGCTTGCTAAACGTTTTCATTTTAATTTAAAATTTTTATAAGCCTTTATTATTTAAATTTAAAAAACCAAATTTCGTTGAAATCAAATTTACAAAAAATGGAACTATTATCAGGACTATCAAGTTAATATTATCAACAATAATTTTTTACAGCAGCTGTTTAACGCTTAGATCGAGTTCTTTATAGATAATAGTATTTTGGTTATTTTACAGTCTTCAATTTTTTTGTAGGAAATAGTATTGACACAGAATTCGTATGTTATAGGCTTCAGAATTACTTCGTTGTTAAAATTTTTGTTTTTCTAGTAATCTGTACTCTATACTAAATTATAATTTTTATACATTTAAGAATACTTAAATTAACATGTGTTTAATAAACGCATAACAATGGACAACTTTTCAAAATCATTGGACATTTTTTTTAAAAATAAATTTATTCGATATGGATTACCATTTATTTTGTTGGTTGTTGGAGGATCATTTGGCCTAAGAGAATTTTCACAAATTCGATATGATTATCGAAAAGTTAAGTTCATTAGTCCAGAAGAACTTAAGAAACAAGGTATTGAAATGAAACCTCGAGGCAGTGTCACAATAGAAACTGAGTATAAAAAACTTTTGGAACAAGTCAATCTTGAAGATTATGATAATAAAAGAATACCAAGACCACCTGGATATGAAGACTGAAATACAACTATATCAAAAAACTGTTTTAGTATGTTTTTATTTTAACAAATAACAAATAAATGTGTTATAATACATAGTTAATTTTGTTTTACTTCAATCATCTGTTCAAGTAAAGTCATCAAAGTTGTAAACCTTTCTTGTATCTGTAAATTAAAAGATATATTATTATTATGTGATGTTGAATTTACTTAAAAATAGCTATTACTTCTGATACTGATCTTTTTGGTATTCGTCTATTTATTGTTTCTAATAAAACTTCAATGTCTTCAACTCTTTTACAAGTTTGTAGTATAATTTTATCTTCATCTATTGTCCATTTGTTTATTAATTGTTTTTCAGATTCGTTATTGTCTCGTCTATCTCTAACATGAACATAACATTCGGATAAATTATCAATAGCTTCACTTTTTAATGTTATATTTTTATCTAGTAATGTTTGATTAATATCAGATGTAGAAGTAGCAAACAAATTACTTTCTGTTAACTTAATTGGGATATTAGGATCATTACATTGTTTCTTATTGCTAATACTACTGATGTCTAATTCTTCAATAAACTCCTGTTTAATTTTAAGATTATTTGATTTTTCTATACTTTTGTGGTGTATGTTACTTGATTGGTTACAATTTTCAGAATAATTGCTATTAACGATATCATTAGAAAATTCTTCTTTAACTTGGTTTGGTATTTGATGTTCCTCATGCTTAATGTCTACTTCTGGTACATTATTGATAGCAACAGATGAAGGTGAGAAATTAAATTCTTTTTTTAATTTTTTTGATACATCATTAACATCATTTTTATCTGAAAACACTTCAGTTTTAATGTCTCTATTCTTTTTAAATACATCTAAATTTAAATTATCCAGATTAACTGTAGCATCATAATCCTGTTGTATTGCATTTTCTTTAATATCAACTTTTAATTTCTTTTTGGGTATAATTTTCACACTAGCTTCTGCTTTAGGAATACAAAAAAATACCATTTCACTGCTTTTCAATTCTTCATTAGTAACATGAACAATAGACTTTCCTGTTTCAATGTTTGATTCTTGTTCATCTTTATATTTAGGATTTTCTTCTTTTTTAAACTTTAGCTTTAATGACTGTACTACTTTTGATTTTTGACGTTTTTTTGGTTTTACATCTATCAGATCTTCTTCAGATTCTATAAATATAATTATAATAACTGAAAAAATTATCAAAGTAAAAATAAATTATGACAACTAACCTGTTCCTGTGCTACCTTTAATATCTTCTGCTGAGCCAGGGGAACTATTTTTAATTAAACTTTTTCTATTTTTTTGTTTTACTGTAATATTTTCTTTAGTCTTATCAATCTTAGACTGTACAATTGATGGGTCTGCTCCTTCAAAATTTATTTTTGCTAATTTTAATCCTTCGGGTGTATCAAAGTAGATGCGACCTTTAAAAAACTTTTTAAAAAAAATAAAGAATTAAATTTTATATTACATTCCATATTTTTATTTTTTAAATATTTATTTTACTAGAAAAAGAAAAAAATTATTTTAATTAATACGTTTATAATCGTATTAAAATTATTAAATTATAATAATTATTTATCAAATTAAATAATATTAATTGTACGTGCAAGTATTATATTAAAGTATATTATATTCATGTAACAGTGAATTTTTGACATTTTAAATTGTATGAAATAATATAAAAATAATATGCATACTGTTGGAAATAGCTTACCAGAATACAGCAATAATCATGTTTTATAAGCAATTATAATATTTAAAATAAATGAATAAATGTACCTTTATCATAAATAAAAAGTTTAAAATTATCTAACCTCAATTCTAACTTGTCTTATTTTGATCGTCTTTACTCTAATAATGCCACCCTAATCAAATCAATTAAAACATTTTATCCTCTATATAGATTTAATAATTTAAAAAAATGTATAGACATTATATTTAATGTTTATTTTATTTTTCTGTAAAATGGTCAAAACCAAATAATACTATTTACATAATATCATTAATTATATTATTATATTTTACTACTTAAATATTATCTAAAAAATTATTCATAAAATTATCAATGATATTAGAAACTATGGATTTAAATGCAAAATAACACACATTAAAGATACTTTGATAAGACATATAAAAATATAAATTTGTGTTTAATGTCCAAACAAAAAAATAATAATAATATTACCTTTAGACCACAAGATCTACAATGTGTATTATCTCCAGGTCTATGACACATACAGTGACATATATTTAATTGAGTATGATCTTCTGAATCCGATGGAATTATTTCTTCATAATCTATCCCACAGTTATTACTTTGATCAATATCCAAGTCTTCCCAATTGTCATCAGAAAAAAAGCTAAAATTGTATTCAACGAATTAGCAATATTAAGATAAAATAATATAATAACGGTATTACATACCTCTCGGGAGGATGTTCTGTTGGAATCAATTGAAAAAAACAATCAACTAAAATTGGATTATTTTTTAATAAAGGAAGCATAGCTGTATGAACTTCTAATGGAGTAATATTTTCACTTTTAGATAAATGAAATAAATTATTTAATATTTTACGAACTTGAGTTGGTTGTTTTTTCATGCAAACCTAATAAAAATAAAATATTAATAAAACTAAGAATGGCAAAATAGTTTAGTTACATACTTGTAACTTCCTTATAAATTCTTTTATCCTAGTTAATTCTAGATAATCTGTAAATTTTCCGATTGATAAAGCTTGTCCTGGTAGTAAAAATCCTAAGAATTCATAGATTAAATCATCATTTTTATCAGTTAATACTTCTGTTATTCGTTCGTATAAAAGATTAATATTGCTATCATCAGCATCCCCAAAAGATACTAAAAGTTTTATGGCTAAATCAAACGATTCAATATCTAATCTTTCTCGCATTTTTTTCATATATCCTTCAGCATAATCTAAAAAAATAAAATACTTTGTTTGTATTATGACTATTATTAAACAAAAATTAATAAAATAAACTTATAACATACATGCTAATTTATAATATATTATGTATTAATGATTAAGAGATAAATAGCTTACATAATAAATTTAGTCTGCAAGAGAAGATTTGAAAATATTGAATTGAATTTAAATAATTGTTTGAAGATAAAAATATTTGTGAATTTTACAATACCAAATTGTTTTTCTTTTTTTTTTTTAATCAGGATTTAATTTGTTAAAAGTGTTTTTAATATTTTTTATCATAATTATTAAAAAATAAAGATACCTTGAGCATATTGTGAGTATGATTGGTCATTTTCAGGAAAAATAGCAGCCAAAGCAGTCTCATATTTTTTTTTTTTCTTCAAAATGTTTGAGTTGGAAGTATCACTTTTACGTTTAGGAGTTCGATGATCTGATTCTGAAGTGTTCTAAAAAGTGTAATCAATTTATAAAGATTTTAACAGTAATTAGAATACTTCACAAAATAAAAACTATTTTACATACTTTTTTGATAGTAATGTGTTTGATTGATCTGAAAAATAAATCAAATAGCAAGTATAAACAATCAGTTAGGTAAATAGTAAGATTTTATGTTGCTATTTACTTCATATTATTATTAGTAGACTCAAGATGAACATCATTAACAATTTTGAGTTCCTCGATACCGTCAATTTGGCATTGATCCATTACCTTATTATTAAACATAAACAATACCTACCAAATATTGAGTAAAAATAATAGATACCGTAATAAAAATAACAATTTATAAATTTACAATCACTAAAACCGAGTGTAAATTGCCATTGTTTTTGTTGGTATTACTTAAGTTAAAAAAAATATTATTTAACTTTTTTAGCTCTTATCTGAGTTATTATTGTATGATAACTGAACAGCTGTTTTTCCTTATAAGTTATTATATTGTAGTTACTACTTTACTATTTACTATATCCACAAATATATCTGTGACTATATCACAAATTACAGTTTCCAGGAAAATACTTGACAGATATCATTATTTTTCTATTACATACTCTATATATATATATATACTTAATAGTATCCAATTATTATTAAAAAAAGTACTCATCGTAATTAGTGTCCTATTAATTAGTAAGATGCACCATTTTTAATCGACAGTTTCATGTATTCAGGATACTAGTTATTTCAAAATACTTTGTAAAAGATCATGTTTCTTGAATTAAACAAATAAAGTAAGTACTTATTTATTTTAAACATTAAACTGATTAGGTATATATTTTAATATTAAACATTGCATTGGTAAATAATACTAAATATCTTAAAATAGATGGTGAACAAATATTAAATTTGTGTTATTTATAAAACAAACAATTAATTAATACATAGTGTTCATGAATTTTTAATTTTCTTTAATTAATAATTTTATAAAGACGTGTTTATAGTATAGTACTTAAATTGTATTATTTATACAAACGTATAAATGTGCAATCAAAGTACTTGCTATGGTTATAACTATAATAAGAATTAATTCAAAATTACTAAAATTATTATCAGTTATCTGAAAAAATGTTTATAATAAGTGTATACAGGTAGGTAAAACATTGTTTTTAATATTATATAGTCATTAATTATTTCTATGTAAGTTTGATTAAAATTATAATTGTCTGAAAGTTATTACACAAAAATAAAGAGGTACTTATGTAATTATACTTATTATCAAGATAAAATTTCCTACTTATTTTACTTTGAAGGTTTTTAATCATTTTAAAATTATTAAACTATCTATTTTGTGTAAAATACTAAATCCATTTCTATTATATGTATTTTACTTATCCATTTTTATAAAACTTTATATAATTTATATATATTTTATGTATTATAAATTATAACAAAAAACAATTAAGGTTATAACTATTAAACTGAATTTTAAAATTATTTGGGCTCTAAATCATATATTCCAAATATAGTTATAAATTATGTTTATCTTATTACAAAATACAAATAGCGTAAAATGTGAAGTGTGTTATCAGTTTTTTAAAAATTAAAAACGAAAAAAAGTTTATTAGGATTGAAATTAGCCGACTATCATGCTCTTTCAATTTAAATGCAATAATAAATCATTGATACAGATA